CTTAGTTATTTTGTATCAGTATCAATATTTTGTGTCCGTAATGTATCTTTTGAACCGGTGGAAGGAAATTGAAACTACTTTGCAGAAATGTTTTCATAATGAGACAATGTGTAGAGCGTTCGTTGTACTTTCACAGGTCAAGGTCACACTAAGTCATTTTGTATCAATATCAACATTTTGTTTCCGCTCTGTATCTTTTGAACCCGTAGAAAGAAACTTAAAATATTTGGTAGAAATATGCTTCCATAATATGCGACCCGGCTCGATTACCGGACGGCGCAAGTCAATTTCGTTTCGATTTATCATGAAATCTTTTCTACGGTCATTCACACTGTACCTCTGCTCTGGTATGTACAGAAGTTTCAGATCCTTGCGAAATAGAAGTCAACTGTTACTCTCGCACAATTTAAATGTAGTACACGTGTTTTAAAAGTACAACCTACAACATGCAGAGCATATATTTTTAACATGTTAATAGTCTAATCTAATGATGAATCATTGGCACAAGAATTTTTAAGAACTTACTCTACTCCTGTGTCTCTGTCTCTCTGGTGGATACAAGTGTGGAGTTGGGGACTTCAGTAAAAAAATGATAAACAAGATCATCAAGGAAAGGCGGCGTTCAATGAACGCAACCCCCACACGATCCAGCAACAAGAGCCAGTGGCAAGGAGACCAGGAGGATCCCAAACAAAAACAAGACAGGGCACAAGGCAGAGGATGGGCAGGTTAATCACTTAAATCATACATAAGAAGAATAATACGTAACCGACAAGGAACTCAAAGAAAACAAATAGATGATTGAATAATAGGCCCTTAAAGTCAAAGGGCTAAGGGGAAAGGGACAAGATACTTGGGGAAGGATATACTTTGGTCTCAATACTTCGGTTTCAATATTTCGTTAAAATACAGATGGAAAGGCATCTCATTCCCGTCAGTGTTCTTAGGAAATTAGTGTCAGTAAAATGAGCTGAGCAAATGGCGTATGTGGTTTTAGTTACGTATATAGAGGATATTAAATGAGCGTTAAATACTGAATTTATTGCACGAGTTGAATAAAATTATATCATATTATTTTATTAAACGAGTGCAATAAATTCAGTAATGAACTTACACGAATTTAATATTCTATTTATCACATACCCAAAAATAAAGACCGTTTAAAGTGAAATAAGAGTCATTTTTTATTGACGCGCCTACAGTATAACGCTAACATTTAGCGCGTCTTTACACTATGTCTGTATAACGCTAATGTCGTCACGTCAAAATATATGCACGGCCGTGCAATACCATATTTACGGAGTCGCCAAATCGGCACGGTGTGTAAAAATAAAAACCGTTTAAAGTGAAATAAGAGTCATTTTTATTGACGCGCCTACAGTATAACGCTAACATTAAGCGCATCTTTACACTATGTCTGTATAACGCTAATGACGTCACGTCAAAATATATGCACGGCCGTGCAATACCATATTTACGGAGTCGCAAAATCGGTACGGGTGAGTAATAAAAAAAATAAATGTACAATGAACTGTCTTTAAAGATTATTAATCTAAATACCTTACACGATTGTTACATGTACATGAGTGTTACTGTATAATTTATGTAAAGATTGATCATGTCACGGGTTCACTCGTCGGTAGAGCTTATACTCGTATTTCTACCGCAGCTGATAAGCTGGTCTGCGAAAACAATATTTCTTATAATTGATGGACAATCATGGGTCCTTTGGAAGGGATTGGTAACTGTGAAGTAAAAAGATTTAGACCACAGCTGTTTTCTCTCGGCCAATCAGAGTAGTTTAAAAGTGTTTGATATATCCCACACATCACAGTAAAGTGTTTGATATAACTATCATGTTTGTATTCAACTGAAAGAAAAAAAACCCGTTATGTGCACGCTTTATGCGGGGAAAATTTATAAGTATATAGTAAAGTTCATAGTGTAATTCCCTTCTTAAAAATTAACAGATAGCAATTGTCCTTTGACCAATTTATTTCGTCAGTTCATCATTTTACAAGAATAGTTACTGTATTTGTAAATAAGAAAAAACAAGCAATAATGAAATGAAATGCGTTTACCAATCTATTTAAATCTATATAATTATGTATCTACATTTTACGACCGCTTTTGTGCTAATATTTTTAGGCACTGTGCCTTGTGCATTATGCCCGGCTCACTCTTAATAGCAGACACTGTAGATGTACGTTCATTTTCGGTTTGGGATGAGGGGATTCCACTGGTGGGCAGGGGGTGGAGTTTCCGAACGGTGACTGGACTGCGTTTGCAACGCTAAGGCAATGCTATGCTTTAAGGCTTCAGAGGGACGTTTGAAATATTTTTTCAGTTCATGAGTGAGGTAAAAAAGACAATGCAGGATGTATATAAAGCATACAACAAAAACACGAATCTATACGTCAAGTAAAATATTTTCAACTTCAGCCGGACAACCAATCAATATCCTGAACCCTAGGGTTGTTTAAGCATTAAGGAAAACGTTAAATGAAAGTTACCTGCCCGTTTCTCCAAGAGCCCACTCTTGAGAAGCAGCCATCGTCCATGATTTCTGTCTAAGAGTATTTTTCGGTAAGCAGTTTTGCTTCTTGACTTCATATTCAAACGCTGTGTAATGTGTAATGTCATTTAAACATTTAAATGAAGAATCAACAGGAATAACAACAAAATCTCTCAACTTGCAAAATTGTAATAATATCACATTCAGAAATGTTAAATTCTTCCCAAATTTCTTCTTACTGCATCTTTGTGATAGAATGTGAAATCTATCATTCATAAGATTGTGTATACAGTAACTTATGAAAGAACATGAATTATGCCATTTTCTCGTGCTTTTTTGCCTACAATAAGGCCAAATAGATTAAGTAAGAAATATTTGGATGTAATTCTCGGAGAAAAAAATCGTTTACGCGTATTAAATCTTCACCTTAAACAGAGAAAACTACCTGTGGTCTAAGTCAGATAGATCGCTCGTACCAGTTGGATGTGAGATTTATCAACTCGCTTCGCTCGTTGATAAATCTCACATCCAACTGGTACTCATGATCTATCCTATACATATCAAAGATATATAAACAATATTTATTAAACAGTTTACAATGTTCGTCTATGAATAATACAGAGTTAATGGCGAATGCAATGAAGCATTGCATTCGTGTACAGTGTAAACGGGTCACAGGTTAGATAGAAAGCGACTTATTATTATGTAATAAGTTATGAAGAAAGAAAATGTATAGATTGGAAAAGATAATTCGGCTACTGTATGGGTATACAGGAAAGGTTTATAGGACTGTTTTGACAATAGTAATAATAAGGGGAATAAAAAATAAAAACAACACGCATGATTTATTCAATTACTTATCTATTTAATATATTTATCAATTCAAACACATAACTCATTTCATTTTACAATTCGCCCTACGACAATCATGACTGTCCGAATTTCAGGTGGTCCGAAACCGAACAGTTAAACACAGAATTTACGACACTTTTGAAAAATTGGTCCATCGTCGCCACTGATTTTCAACAAGCATAACAATTTTCTACTTTTGTCATTTAGAAAGCTATGAAATAAAAGAGTTTTTCGTATCTCGAGTCCTTTGTGAACTTCGGAACGCAGCAGTGATACAATGTCATATTTTAAGTTTGCTTTAAGTGCCTCGTTTTCGTTCCAGCATTGAACTATAAAGCGAAACATATAGTGGTAAACTTTGTTGGTTTGAGAATCTTTCTATTATAACTACAAAAGTCATATATAAAATTCGTACGAAAAGGGTCATAATTGTATTCACCTTTGTGTGAAAATATGTACAAAAATACATTTTATTCTTCTTTTCAAAAAGCAAACTCATCATAGTTTAGCAATTTAAGGGCGCTTTGACACTTTTTATATTTAGGAAAGCACATTTAATATTTTTGTGTAAACACAGCTTAGATATAATGCATGTGTTTAGACTTGTAAGACCTTTTAGATTGTAAAAATTAAAATCATTAAAAACATGCATTTAGGATCAAAGAAGGCCCCGTCTTGAATTCACATGTAACGGAAACACATTTTAATTACTACAATGGTCAAAGCTTAGATATTAAATGCTATACAAATTAAGCCCCTGGAGTGACCAAAGGACATTCGATTCAATGGGTTATTTGTCCTTCTTCTCCTTTAAAAAGCCCCCAGATATGTAGCAAACACATTGACGTTTGTTTACCATATTGTTATAAATTTTGCCCGAAGGGTCAAAATTGGCTTAAATCCCTGTGTCCCTTAATTTTCATAGAATAATCAATTAACACATAATAAATCCGCTTATGTTGAACTACAATGTGTTTAGATATTTGCCAGTTCCATTGTCTTCAGTAATCCGACGTTGGAATGTCATTACTTCCAATATTTGTTTCTGACATGTCACATATTTAAACAGACGCGATATTACATTTACATTACATACATTCCTGTGTTTAAACTTATATTTTATTTATTTATTTATGTCTCAAAAGATTTTGGGTGACATATTGTTTTTGCCTTTGCCATTTGTCTGTTCGTCTGTCCGCATTAAACTTATATTTTGTTTATTTATTTATTTATGTCTCAAAAGATTTTGGGAGACATATTGTTTTTGCCTTTGCGTTTGTCTGTTCGTCTGTCCGCATTAAACTTCTCCAGCTTTCACAGGGCAAACGTCTGGGAAATCTCAACAAACTAAAAAAGACCGATCGGTACCAACCCTTGTTGTGCATATTGCCGACCTGTTCCGCTTCGCTGTGAAAACTGGCCGAAAGAGCTACGAATAAAACTTGCCGGCTTTTACAGGACAAACAGCCGCTGGGTTTTCAATGAAACTTCACTTAAACGATCAGTACAATCCCTGGTTGTGCATGTCGCCAGCACGTTTTAGATTTATGAAAATGATAAAGGTATTTATATTTGTTTACAGATATAATGAAATAATTTTTAACATTACAGGCGGTCTTTACTTTATTTACAGGATGACACTTCAAAAGTAGTTGTCCGAATAGATACAAAAATGAAAGCTCTTGAAACAAAGTTGGAGACACATATGAAACATGTTGACGATCAGTTAGGGGCAATTTTGAAAATGAAAAAGGATGACTCTTCACTAGTAGTTGCCCGATCAGATACAAAAATGAAAGCTCTTGAAACAAAGTTGGAGACACGTATGAAACATGTTGACGATCAGTTAGAGGCAATTTTGGATATAATTGGCAGCAAGTCAGAAGAAAATTAAATGTAGAGCATAGCTCAGCACTGTTTACTTTAACAAAATAGTAAAAACTTTTTATGCTGTTTCGTTATTTTCTTTTGAAATATGCTTAATTTTGATGTACTGGTAAGTAACATGTGTTTTATAAGTGACTGAAAGCTTCACTGTCAAACTTGTATAAAGCGACTGTGCAAGGGAAACACCCAAAACGGTCGCTTAATGAAACGGTCTCTTAAGACAAAACATGATAAAAAGTCAAAATATATACATGACATCTTTCTTTTGCGGTGGGAATGTTTTTCAACTTCATTTATATAAATGTTTAATAATTATCAGTATGTTTTTATCCTTTGTAGTTTTTTATTATTATTTTTCATTCTTGTAGCACCGTTGAATCTTCATCTGTAAATTTTAACAACTGCATTTTTTGTTTATTTCTTTCTTTTTTTAGCATTATTTTGTTAAATCTAAATTGTTAAAATATCTTTGTGCTTTTATAGCCTTGAGTTTTAGTTCTTTAGTTTATAATTTGGAAATTCTACTTGAAAAGGTTTTTCTATAAATTTTCTATAAACTTTATTTATAACATATGTAAGCAGAAAGCTTAGAATTTATTCAACTATCATAATTATATGGATATATTTAAATTATAAGATAACATTAATCATTTTCTCATTGGATATGATATTGATACACGTAAATATCAATCATTGTAATAATTATTATTGCCAAAATGTGATTGACGGTGTTATGGTTGTTTTGTTTTTAGTTTTTGTTGTTGTTGTTTATTTGGTGTTTTTGTGGGTTTTGGGGGTTTTCTTTACATACATCTATATATCTAAGTTGACAAGTGACCCATTGGACACAAGCCGTTGTGCTGTCTTTACCAGTTCGATTTCAAGTTTTAAATTAAGATGAAACTGAACATTGTTCAGCGATTATTTGAAAATTTATGATTTGTTTATTGTATAAGCAGACTGTGATTTGTTGAACAATGTGTGATATATTTATATTGTTAATTTTCTACATTTTGTGTGAAAAATGTGCTGATCTGCTGTGATAATTTACTCTTTCTATATTGTTACCTGCCTTTGTTGGTTTCTTTTCCCGGTCAACTAAAATATGTTTTATGATAGGAACCTCTTAGGAACCAGCATCAATCCAACAACTGAATTAGAATTTTCTTATTTTATTCATTTTATCTGGGACATTATATAATGTGACTACAGCTTCGCTTTCTTGTACACGACGTGCCGCCATTTCCTCTTACTGAGTTTTGTGAGAAATAAATCTGCTGTGAACGATATAAATAAGAGAAATTTAAGCCAACTTTCAAAGGATTAATATTCAAATTGTCATAACTTGATGTTAAGTAAATATACTTATTAAACACGGTTGTTTATCACGTCGGTAATTGCTAATGATATCTATTATAACTAAATCACTCTAAGTTAAAAAAAAAGGTTAGGTTCTGGTACTTTCTAAAATTTGATTATTTGTCTTGCCCAATCAAAACAATAATTTTTGCGGATGTGATTCCATTTCTTTCTTTACAAAAGTTTCTCTATTTTCACTCAGAAATATATCATTATATCTAATAAAAACTCGAAAATCATTAATACCTGAATTACGCTTTTGTTCCTGCATTAAATCAATACAACTTTCATGATTTAATTTACAATAGACGATTTTAGTTTGCAGCAGAATACAACTTTCAGACAAAGCCTTCTTTATTGATAAATACATATTAAAACTTTGTGTGTGTCAATTGAAACCATGCATAAATATTTCAATACGAAAACATCATTGGTCATAAAACGCCGATTAATTTTTCTCCTAAATTTAAGTCTTGGCAGTGAAGTTTAACGCTGTATTTTATAAATATGTAAACATAATTTTGCCGTCGGCCTAAAAACCAAGCAATTTACATTTTCATTAATCTTTTTAACAATATTGTTTTAAATATAAATATTGCTCAGATATTATTATCTTATGAGGAACCGTTAGCACTGAAGTTCGTAAAGAAAAGCTCACGTATGCGCACATGCTATCAAAACGTTACATTGTTGAATTTTATAAGAAATCAAAAGTAATTTTTTTATTATAGAGGAGACGCAATCGTCACATTTGTCAGGAACATATTTTATTTAAATTATCAATATAAAACAGCCTCCGGAAAATCTTTGCAACACCAGGATTGTGGCAAACTTGACTACGATTTTATAATGTCCTAAACATTAATAAATCATTCCATATGATAAATTTAGGATTAATTAACAATAATTGACTTCATTATACTAAAATTTTAAAAATTGTCCGGGCGGATTTTTGCATTTAATTTAACTGGAAGAAAATCCAATTGGAATTCACCCCATCTGGATTTATTTCCATTTGGATTTTTTTCAATATTATTTACTGGAAATAAATCCTATCAGAATTAATCCCAGTTTTAAAGAAATAGAAATTAATCCAATTGGATTTTTAATGTAAGATATGGTTATGTACTTTACAGACTATATAAAAACGAAATGAGTCGGTTAGATCATCAAATCAACTTTTAACAGCATTTTTGCAACAATTCAGACATTCGTTCTAATTTGATTAAAATTATAATTTTTGTCTTTTTTATTCAATTTTAAGTGTATTTAAGTGTAATACATCTTTAATGTAGACTTTTCAATTCTGTTAAATTCGCCTTTCGCCATATTGCCTTATTTTAGACTTTTCAGAGGGTATTCAGAAGGTATAGAGATAAATATTTTACATATTCGTAACAAGAAGACACAAGCAAGCAACAATACAATAAAGTGAAAAAGAAAACGACTATTAGATAACTCGATAAATCAAAAATGAGAAATACAAGAGAAAGCAAACATGTAGCATTGTGAAAATACGAAAATGCAACAATGTGGTAAAGCCAACCAAATGTTACATGCGAAAAAGCGAAAATGACGCTAAGTTAAAAAAGATCAAAAAACAACTTTGTCATATGTTTAAACATGTATTACAATACAATAAATTGAAAATGCAAATGTGCAAATATACAACAATTCAATAATGTGATAAATCAAAAAGGTTTAACACGTAAAAAAGCGAAAAGGTAGCAATGTAAAAATGCAATAATAGAACAATGCGATAAGCGAAAATCCTACGTAGAAAATGTTGCTTTGTTAATAAAAATGATATAATCCAACTTTGCCATAATTTAGTCGAAAAATAAGAAAGGACAACAAAATTATGTAAACAAAAAAGAAAAGACCACAACAAAAGAGAGTGTTGTGTTTTAGCATTACATCTGTTGGATCTTTGCTTTCCTTGTAGTGAGACTGCAACAACGTGAAAACATGCAGATACGACAACGTTGGACTTTGTCACGTGACACGTTTTCGCATTGCTACATTTTGAAATTGTCCTTTCTACTACTACCACCACCCCCTCCTTCTCCTCTGCTACTGCTACTGCTACTACTACTACTACTTTCACTGCTGCTACCGCTGCTGCTCCTCCTCCTCCTCCTACAACCACTACTGCTGCTTTGTGCCGTGCGGAGTCCATAAAATGTCGCCTTGTACATTCAATCAGATATGTTATATTTCCTATTCTTGAAGATCGTTCAGCACGTTGTCGTTGCTGTGTTTGATATTTTTGATCCGTTTTATTTTGATTTTTTCTTGTTGGGTGGCTCCAGTATTACTACTTGAATATTGTTTAATCATCCATATAATATTGTGCCTGCGCTATTGTTTTGTGACGTCTTATCTTTGAAAGACAGGCTTCATAACCTCTGGTCCCTTTTCAAAATACCATTTGACTCAGTTCCGCCCATTGTTTCTCGTATAGGCATACGAGTTAATTTACTTGAAGATCATACATGTTTTTTTCCCGGTATGGCAAGTCCGTTTCATTAAATTTACATGGGTTGTAAGTGCCGTTTATAATGTAAAAATTATTTCCTATGTTCACTTAACAATATTTTTCAAAATTTTCATGAAAATTACCATGAATCTGGAGGCATGCTGCTTAAAACGAATTAATAACTAACTAATTAATTAAATAGTACTAATAAACTAACTATAACCGACAATCAAATCATCATCGAAGCGATAGCTTATATTGTATTATTAAACCTCATGTAAACTATTTATTATAGACCATAATATATAACGTCACATGGTATCATCCTGGAAATAAATATCACCCGGTCAATAGTTTAGATGCAATATTCCCCAGGGGCGAGTAATCTATAGAGACTTAAGAAAACGCAATGCTCTTGTTCTCTCCCCTGTCCGCAAGTGCATAGCGGCGAAACATTACATTAAAAAGTTGGTTCGGTTTAATAAAAGTATTACCCATGTCTATAAGGGTAATAGTGCATATTAGTACCCCTTGAACTGAAATAATAACCAAGGCGAAGCTATATAACCTGGCAAATATCTTTATAACAAATATTGTAATAGGTTCTTTGCATCCGGTGATATTATCGCGCTTGACATATGGCAAAAGAAGACATGAAATTGTTGGAGATTTCATTTATCTTGAGTTATTAACTCTGATTTGAGTTATCCGTCCTTGAAATTGATTTAATTAATTAAAATTGAATTTATTTATTTATTTATTTATTGCCTGTTTTATGTCATATTAATGACCGGTAAGTTATTGGTAAGTCTAGATAAAGGAAATACGCGAAGAAGTTTTAACCTGTGTATCTTAACAAGATTTAGCTTAAATGCCCATTATGCCTCAGATTTGCTTTTGTTTTTATTTCTAAAAAGCTTTTAATTGTTGGTGCTTTAATATAGTTTCTAAAATGTTTATTCATTTATTAAGTCCCAGAACTATATTTTGTTTCTGTAGCTTTTTGACGAGTTGTATATACTTAATAGTTATTTAGTTCTTTATATGGTAGCCAAAATACTATTTATTTTACATTTTACTACTTTATGTCAAAAAATCTTATACAGTGCTATTTCTGTAGGTGTTTAACATCTAGCATGCCTAAAAACATGAATTAAAAGTTAAAAACACGTCTTTTCTCTTTTAAAAGAAGGAAAATTTATGTGTTTCTGGGGTATATTGTGCCTTTAAGCTTGACTAACTAATTGACTTTATATTTTCTTGAAATCTTGCTTTTTTATTGAGGATGTTTCAAGTTTAAACTTTGTTAATGTAAATTTACTGCAAACATTTATTGATAACAGATATTTCACAAATCCAATGATTATTTGAATAAATACCTTTCGTAATTTTATGACAAGTTTATCAGTTCAAAAATTAATGAATACCAAACAAAGCTACCACAAAAAGTTAACATTCAAATTCGGATTTTATCATTCATACAATAATAATAGTTTTTATAATCTTTAATGACCTTGCTCAAAGGTTGGTCTCAAAGGCGGATTGTAGAAGATTAATTCAATCTAATAAAGAGATTACAAGATCACCTTGATCAAAGAAAACGCAGGTTTGACTTTTAGAAAATGATCTATGCAATACCATATAGAAATGAAAATTATTTTTAACGAAATTTTGTTAATATTTATAGCATTTACATCCAGTCACAAGATTCGACCTAAAATATTGATCTATTCAATAAAAATATATAAAAAATATTTAAACGAAATTTTATCTAATATAAAGCATGTGAAGTTTATTATTAAAAAATAGCCGTCCGGTTAGCTCAATAGGTAGAGTGTTGGACTGTGAATCGGGCAACCCAGGTGCGATTCCCGGACGGCGCAGATCACTTTTGTTGTGATTGATCATGAAAATCCCTTCTACGGTCATTCGCACTGTACCTCTGCTCTGGCATGTATAGAAGTTTCAGTTCCTTGCAAAAGTGAAGGAAAACTAGTACTGGTAAACTACTGATAGCCTGCCCAGGAACGATGCAGTCTCTGGCCTATGCTGTGGTGAATTGAATGTGGCTTACCGCCGTGGTCCGGAGTGAAAACTACAAACACCACCACATCAACAAAAAATTTCCTTTAGGTCACGTAACCTAGTTTGAAGTTAAAATTACCTAAAAAGCATTATGTTCCTTCCAGTCTAATCTTTTTTATTTTTGTAAATATCATGTATGTAAATATGTTCTTATGTGACGAATAAAATATGTTTTAACCAAAATTACTATTTATGCTATAGAAAAAACATAATTATCTTTACCGGTCTTTACATTTTTAGATTTTTAGCACAACTACCTAATTAGTTAACCATGTAATTACAATATATCAAAACAGAAAATAATGTCTTAAAATAAATCTCTTTTTTCTGCTATCATTTGTTTCTTTTTTTAAACTGCGAGTTATTTCAATTTTAAAATTATGATGTCTCACAGAAGAAAACGCAAAACGTGAATTAGCCTTACAGTGTACAGCGATATTACTTTATGACTGATTCTCTCTTTTTAAAAAGAAAAAAAAACAACGAAAATTATGAAGCCAATTAGCTATAGAGTTCTTTTCATGCTTAGATAGCTTTACTTTGTGTCGCGAAACAAACCTGAATGTCTATGCTTCATTAACATAAAATATACTTGTGCTTTCTCTTAAAATATTTGTCACCTTTAAAAAAATAAAAAAAATTTAAAATATTTCCAGCAACAAAAGTTATTTTAAACTGAAAAAAACTTAAGTAAAGATTTTATTTTATCTTAAAACTTCTTTGTAATGTATGAACGAGATAGCTGTTGGTAAAACGTCATTACGTGAACATTACGTCAAATACGTGACATAGCTCGAGAAATCAACTAACTAAATCAAACATTTCGAAACGTTCGTTACCGACTATATGTTAGATATATCCATGTAAAATATGTAGTATCGGTTTTACAACAGAACTGAACAGAGCAGAACAGTTTTACAACATTTATAAAACGGTGTGATTTGATTGGATATCAAACATTTAGCAAAAGAATGAAAAACGAAAACATGAGAAAAACACAATAAGGCTATTGACAATGGCTTTAATATTACATGTAACAGGGGAAAAAAACAGAAATATATCACTAAACATGTATAATTACACTGATAAACTAAATGCTAAATAATACCGCCCAATTTTACATTTGTATTTCATAATCATTGTCAAATTTCACTCTAGTTTAAAAAGGTAAATAATTCAATATTTTGATGTTATTCAAATCCATAAATAAATAATATTGTTTTTTTTTCTTTCTTTCTCTCCTTCTTATTCGTTGGGTTGTGCAAACACACCAGACTAAAATTGATTCGTTAAAACTATAGGGTCAATCTTGGACCCGGCAAAAATAAACAAACCGAGGCCGCAAATATTTTAACCTACATTGAATAACCAGGTTAAACCTGTCTTTTTAGAAAATATTATCTAAATATCTGGATCTAAACGTTAACAATCATTTAATCCATTTAATATTCTTTTCAATAAAGATTGAAAATTGTATTTTGGGATCAATGATTATACTATATTAAAAGCTATTAATGTGTGGCTTGTGCCAATAAAGAAAAGTACACTCTAGACATCAGAATGTACAGACATAAGCAAAGTATTTCCTACACATCTAAATTAACTGTACCCGTATTTTGTGCGCCTACACATTACAGCTTTCCTAACTTTTGAACAAATTATAATAATGTGTATTTTTTCAAATATCTAGCCAGTTTGATAAACTTTGCACTCATCAGATGGTGTCAAGTGGGCATTTAAACATAAAAAATATGAATATTGTTTCCTATAATGGGGCACTATGGACTGAACTTTGATACTTGCTTCTTGTTTAGTTGGTAAATGTGTTGGGTTTTTTTCTGGTACAATCTATTATAACGTAGTCCTCGTGTGTAAGAAAATTGGACGATAGTATCCCTTTGAATTTAACTTATGAGACAGAGACACATATCTACTGCATACATGGAATATTCTTTTTTTCTCATTTTGATTGGAGTAATAGTTAGAATCTAGTTAATTATATAGCTAAGAAGAAAAGCACGACTATATCCTCAGCGGAACAGCAGGTAATCTTATTTAAATGATGATTTTCCAATTCTTTGCAATTATTCAACTTGTTCTATCGTTGTGCTTGGGTCCATTTGCCATTGACTAGCTATTGAATTGAGAACGTTCTGTCGTGATTGCAACTTACGAATTCGTTCTTGCCGCACAATCTCGTGAGAATCAGACGAATTCTCGTTCTGCATATTTTGCAACGCCCTTTTACGGGCAACTCTTGAAAATGTCAATGCAGCACGAACTATTTTTGACACTGAAACAAGTTTATTAGTGGCCAGAGGTTTATCGGGTTTAATTTCATTCATCAATTTATCCTGTCCTTTTTGGATTTCCTCAATATCAGCCGAAATACCGAGGGATATACTTGGCCTATGACTAGATACAAACGATCCAGTTCTTGACATTGGCATGCTTATCATACTTGACGCAGATCCGGAATCCCTCCGCGTCCTTCGACTACCTTCTACATATGAACTTAAGTCAGAGTTCGAAGATTTGTAATGATTTCTATTCGACGCGTTACCATTTATACTAGATTTTGCGGAACGTTTCCTTTCTAATTTCTGTCGTATACGATTCTGAAATTTTAAAGATAATTCTGAACGCATTTTGTTTTCTATAGCTGCCGTACAGTCAGTTTGGTCTTCCTTCTCACTTTCAGAAACGCCGTCTGTGTCATTTGCGTTTCCGTGTAATTTGTCATTAGTTACGTCATCAATGTCGTCATCTTCATTACCTTCCTGAACCGGGCATAATGTACTTAAAGATGCAACACTGTGATCTCTTTCCATATTTGCACTCGGTGGTTTCAAAGATGAAGAAGGCGTGGTCAAATAATTATTTACCATCACTGGTGTTTCAACTGGCCTACTATCCAAGAGTTTTTCAAAGCTCTGTCCTGTTTTGATATAGATGCTATCCTTTGTTATCAGAAATTGAGACTGGTTGTTATTTCTAACATTTGCAGACGCGGGTCTCTGTGGTATAGACGAATTTCCGGACGATGGTCGAATTCTTGGCTGTGCGGTATGCGGTCTTACCCGCTTTTTCTTCTCTACTTCAGTATCGTTATTTCGGGTTGAAAATGTCGGGGACGACAAAGATTTTAATTTGTGTTTGGTATCATTGCCATTTACCTGTGGTTTATGACAAACCATTGTTTTGTAGCTTTCGATAATTTCCGATTCCCATTTTTTAATGTCAAAAACCTCTGACGTGTCATTCGGATTATCTTTCAGAATATCACAAGGAGAAGATGCCTCATTGGTCAAAGTACTTTCATTATCAGCAAAAACGTCATCGTCCAAATCTTCGAGCTTCCTTGGCGGAATAATATCATAATCTACGGATTTTTTCTTCAGGTACTTCTTTCGTTTTTGTTTCGCGCGCTCTAATTCGTGTTGCGTAATGAATTTGTTTAGCTGTTTTTCACACTCTCTCCATTCCATCAAGCGTTTATTGCTAAGTTTGAGTCCTTGCATGTAGGAGGGACATTTTTCAAAGTCTGTGTCTTTTTCATTTTTTGGAGGAATTCCAAGATCACTCGCACCGGAAGTCTTAATCACATTTCGGAATGACTTTGTTATAAACCTTTTTTCTCGATCGATTTCATAGTTTAGTCGCACAGTTTCTTTGTCGTAATGCTTGTAAGTAACTTTTAACTTGTGCGTCTCGAGCCGATTCCTGCGCTCAGCGCGGATGAATTTTTCACTACTCATTTGTGGAGGCATTTCAGAACCGTCCAAAATCTGGAAAATAAATATATGATTATTAAGATTTAATGTCTGAAACTCTTAATACTTTTACAACATGAGAGTTCTGTTGTCGCATCGATAACTAAATATTCTTGTCAAAATATCCCAAACGACTTCTCGGCAGACGAACATCCAATAAAAGTTTGTGTATAAATTTATTTTTGAAATATATATTCCCATGCCCATACAACAACCTAACTGAACGTTCATTGAAGATGAGAATAACAAGCCCGCAAAGATTATTATTTAATTTTTTTACAAATAAAACAATGATCTGCAATGTTACTTTATTTCGATTATCATTACGAATAAAAAATATTGAACAACATATATATGTAAATATAAGGTGACTATCGTGTCATAATTTTTTTTCATTAAGTTGAAAATCTACAATTCTAATTTCATATGTCATGTCTTGTTTTTACAAACCTTAATAAATCACATTTCAAACCATTCTAAAGTTTTAAAATATTCTCTTTCATACTTTTTTCTACAAACGATGTTAAAATATCTAATAAACTTAAAATAACCGCGTGATTCACACAAATGCTATCACGGCGATTTTGTTCAAAGTTATTTCAAATCAAAATTAAATACCAATCATTATGAAGTCCGTTACACGAAATATTAATAATTTACGACAATATTATCAAATCATTCACAAAATGAATAGACGTCATTCGGTCCAGTTTTAAGCGAATATTACTTTATTAAAAGTGAATTATATTTCAACAATGAAAGAGCAATCACTTCATATCTTGGTACAAATGGATAAGTCAATTCTACTTGTCCAAAAGGCCGGTCAAACTTTGGAGAATAATGTTCTTGCACTCCGTATTCGTAATAATCAAGTCTACTTAAATGATCAAATCCCATCGTATACACTCCATTCATAATCTTTGTACTAATATTTACCTCCATGCATACACAATTAAAGTTTTCTTTTTGTCCAGTATCACTATATTGACTCTGTTCACAAAAAGCTCTATTTTCCATTATAAACTCTCTTTTTAAGAAACAAAACACCTTTTATCGTATTTCAAAGAATGACATGGTGGCCATTTTAAAATATTTGCTTTATTTTTGTTCTGCTTTTCAAAGCGTCTATATGATTTATGGCAAGTTTTGTGCCGTTAATTTGTCGCACTTGAATCCGAGTTTACAAAAAAAAATGACAAAATATGATCAAATATCGTTTAAATGTTCACACAAATTATGACAAATTATGTACCGCTTTGCGTAAATGTGTTAATTTTGTGTTGTAAATATTTGATACTGTTGCAGCATATTTAATAACTCATGCTAGACTTCCAAAACACGTGCGCAATTTCATATGTTACGTAACGATAATCAGTTTTCCTTATTTGCATAGGAATGAGTATTCCTTTCATTTGTTAATAAGCGCAGTTTGTGTATGCATAGATACAGGAGCACACTATTTTCTTTAATATATGATCCTTTGTAACGATCGCTTGTAGTTTCTTTGAACCAGTCTTGAGCCCGCTTCTGGGAAATTGCAAGTACTGGTGACATATGAAGAAACATGCCTCGATCTCACGATTTTTCGGCTGAGAGGTAGTTTCCGTACCCCCTAGGGCACCGCTCCCCAAGAGCAGCAGCATTAACAGGCAATATTAATTTTTGAACGGCATGCTATAGTTGTATGCGTATAGCAAATAATATAATTACACAAAGTTGAATATGGTTGATAATTAACATGTCAATACTTAAAAAACATATCTTCAAAATTATAACTATAAACAGATAAAAACAGTAGATACGAGTAAAGACTGGCAGACTGTTTTTGTTATAATTACTGAATAATGGTCAACAATAAAAAGATCTACATTGGTAAGTTTGACAGGTTACCGTATGTCCCCAAAAGTCATGCATTTCCGTAAATACACAAGAAATTTCTCGTAACTTTTGTATCAATTAATGAAACATATTACCCGGATGTACATCTTAATGATTATTTATATAATATTAAATTACCGCTCTCATAAAAACAAGAGAAATATGTAGCAGAAAGCAGACGAAACGTAACATTATATTAATACTTAAAGAACAACTTTCTTATTCTAAAAGTATGGCATTTTTCCTGTCAGTATTCAAACTTGCACAATAATATCATTCTGTCATTCAATAGATATTCTATTAATCGATATAATTAGTCCATACTTTAACTTTGAAAAAAAATGTTTGAGTGACATTGCCGAATAGGGAAACAACAATATTATCATTATCATCATAACATTTATAAAACAACACCATTATCATCCTAATTATTATTATTATTATTATTATTATTATTATCATCATGTTATCATCATATTCTATCAGCATTTCATTACATATTCATTATAACTAGTATAACTATTGACAAATTTTAACGAAACAATAGACAAATAATGATGCACGCGTTGTTTCAATAATAATCCATTATAATGACAGAAAAGAAAAATTCCTCTCAATAAAATACAAGGCTTGTGAACTGTTGGTATTTACTTATAAATGAATAAAGTATGCTTCCGGTAATCTAAATACATTACTGAATCTTTACTTTATTTTCTGTTACTATCATAATAAGCTTTCCTCATTGAATAATAGAAATTTTTATGTTTCATTATCTTAAAGAAATGTTTATGTAATATCGAAAGCATTCATCAAATTAGTGTATTGTATAAAAAAATCAATTTTGTTATTTTTACGGAATTATAACCGTTTGGTGTATAAGACACATCTGTATTAAACGATAACATTTAGTTATATAAATAAACACAAACCTGCTTACTTCAATAAAAATAGAAAAAAATAGATATCCTCTGGCACAGTAACCCTCTTAGAAAATTCTACACTTCTTCAAAAAATGTATGGTTTAATCCTTGCTTCCATTGCTATAAAACGAACTAACATAGTAAATGTGGAAACTAACGAAAACACAAGAGCGTTTGGTTAACCTATAATTATGAGTGAAATGCAAATATTGACTGTATAAAATTTGTAAATGGTAAAGACATGCGGTGAAAAGAGTGTCAATTATCGACTACTTTATACAATTTTCCTTTTAAATGTAAAGTATTCTCAATTATTCCACACGTGACCTTCAATGTTTCATTTCGAACCCCGCAATAAAATCGTTTTTACACCTTCGATCTTTTAATACTATATCCCGACTAAAAGAAATACACTATAGAGAGGAAAAATAAAAGATATACCAACGATATACAAATAAACATAATAATACAATATAATACAATATAATAAATAAAATATAATGGTTGAAATAATTTTGTTTGAATACTTCGTTTAGAATGAGGTAGAGTTATTTAACATTAGTTAATAATTCGATGACGGATGGGTAGAAATTTGAATGAAATTTAAAATGATAGCATTGTAGGAAAACCAATAAAAAAAGTACGGCATGATAAAATGACGAATGATAAAGAAAAAACACCATTAGTCCTACATTAAAAGCCAGTAAAGGTTGCGTTGTCCAATAAAATTTATTGTGTCTGACAGAGCGAGAAATCTGTCTCAAGAGGATATTATTATAAGCTGTGATAAAGGAATATCACAAAAGCGCCCAAAAACGAATTATCTAACTAGGGAGTGCCCTTTTTTCTGATATTAACTTCAACCTTTTACTTATTATGAAAATTAGATTTGAAATTAAAATAAAATTTAAGTTAGGAGAAAATGAGAAAATGTTTGTTATTACATAAATTTGGGTATTTTAATACTTAAAAAAGAACCTTTTCTTGTAATGAAAATAAGATTTAAAATCAAAATAAAATTTAAATTAGGAGAAAATGAGGAAATATCGGTTATTACATAAATTTTGTGTATTTTGATACTATAAAATTATTGAAACTTAATACGTTTAGGTCTTTATACATACTCGTTGTGATATACATAATGAGCATGTTTATGACCATAATTTAATACCCTCTTTTCCTTAACTCTATCAATTTCAGTTGAAATAGCTTAAATTAACCAGGTGCTATCAATGATATTTGTTTTCCGTCTTTTTTTAATAAAAAGAAAGGCATTTTTCAGATAAGAACTACCATTTTTGTAACGTTCTCTTAACATAAAAAGAACCCAACGCAGCACTTTTATTCCAAAAGTCTATATTCTGAACTAACCCTCATAAATCGTATTATCAAGTTTTATATATTAAAGTTTTATGCACACCTTAAAGACATAACCATATATAATATAATTTAGCCGCCCATTTTTCAAAATTTGTTACGTGAAAAGTTTTTTAGATGAGGAGATAATGGGCTTGTCTATTATATAAGGAATGGACCTGGGACATTAAAATATGTGAATAGGCCTAGAACAATGTGGCAAAACTTTGACATGTATTTATATGAATGGTTCTATGCTCTAAGCCAGTAAGATCCAGTTATTAAATAGGATGATTAATTGCTATCGTCAAAAGATATAAGGATATTTAAAGTTATACTATGCTCATCCTTTAATAAAATACTCTTTCTTTTGCAGAAATTTATTGAAATCTAGGAAATTCTTTCAAAATATGTATAATTTGAAAAGGAGAATGCACACACTATGTTAGGGAAACTACATTCACTATTATTGGTCGAGTTAAGTTAGTCCTCTTTTTTTTTTTAAACTACCAGTTTTTAAATGACACTATGTATTCATATTGTGTTTACCTATTGTTTGTAGAGTTTATAACGTAACAAGTTTTCACTGCGTTTGCTGAAAAAGATGTTTATTTTACATTTAAAAAAAAACTATATGGGAGTTAGCAATATTTTCAAATTCAAAATTTTGAGCATAGTGTTTCTTTAAGAGCGAGGTGCCCGAGAAATTTAAGTGTCTATCCGACAATACAGGACTCATGGATCCGAGCTCTAGCTTGCTCCATGGTCGCTCATAAGACACCACTGGTAAGTCTAGTAAACTGGCCAGAAAAAGTTTAAATAGCTGCAAACTTTCTATACAGAACAGGGTAAACATAGGCGTGTATAAACCTGAATATATTAGCAAAGCTGCAACACGTTTAGTTCAAAATATAAATAACCAGCGTGAGTAACACCAGATGACTTATTTTACAATAAAACACACACACACGCACGGACGCACGCACGCACGCATAAACAAACGCACACAAACGCACGCGTTCGCGCACACATTTATTAAGTCCAAGCACAATATATTTTTATATATATTGGTAAAAATATCCGGGGTTGCTTACACAGTCAAAATATTACACATTGGTCTCCATAACGCAACAAATACATATGACGTGCATTTCTTCTTATCCAAAGGATCAAAGATCACAATAAATTGCACAAAATGTCAGCATAGCTTACCTAAGGTTTATAATGACATAATATGTCGAAAATTATAGACATACTTTATACCTAGTATTTCATTTAGATAGCTCTTCTGAATCATCAAGTTGATCAAAGTTCGGATCTGGAGTCTAGGATTAATCCTTGTTTCAGTATCTTTAGATTCGTACATGTATGCAATTTGCCTTCATTTCTTCCAAAGAAGAAATTTGTGGACAACTAAAGATGCAATTTTGGATATCATTAATATACGCTGCGTGTAGCATAAAAACCATTATCTGGGCATTGTTTTCGTTAGTTGAAACGTACTTAATGGAACCGAATATGATTAGCCTTTGCTACCAGTATACATGTATAGAGCCGGACCAATCTGCAGATTCGTGCAGTCTGGCCTGTCTCTATACCGTTGCTTGACCAGCTTCAAATGTTCCTCTTCGTGTGCTTAAAATTGACAATAGACAGTTACAATAATGGTAGCTGGACAGGTCTATTAATGAAATTCAGCAGGTTAAAGATTAACTTTATTATCTAGTCACTCTCTTTAATATAGTATCTAATTCCAATTATAAAGCAATGAACTTCACCTTTCATGAGCACTTACGTCTTGCTATTCAACACTGTCGTAACTCGAGTAGGACTCGAACCATCGATTCTCAGGTTGGGATATAGACGGCCTAACTATTAGGTCTCTGTTCCTATGGCGTTATTCTTTCTTTTATGACTAAGGGTCCGAACTTGTAGGGAAAATGTTTCTTTTAATGTAACAAAACTAATATCTTTACTTATACTTCACACTCGTATTTTAACAATGGTATATACTGTTTTCCCTCGTTCTTTCTTTCATTGAGGCTTCACTTAACTATAGATAATACATCAGTCGGTATAAAAATGGTGAAATAATATCTTCACGGGCTTTATTAAATATTTTATTTCTTTGCAAAAGTGTTTTATAAACCGTTATCTACACACAGACGAATTTTAAAAAAATGTTATTTTATGAGGATTTGCGTACTTTAAAATCTCTTTAAACTGTCTGTTGTATTATAAATCACTGGGTATGATTAAAGTTTCTAAGCCTTAGACTTACATTTTTGTTACAAAGCAAATACGAGGAGAACATTCAAATACTGACGAGCCCAGGTCAGAAGGTCGTCTTGGAAGGAACGATTTATTTCTGTTGAATGATGGCACTCAAAGGATACCATAGATATTGAGAATCATTAATTCTTAATATCTCATGATATAAGCAGAATGTTCGTGCGTTGATACACGGGCAGACAAAGTTACTCGTGCAATTACAAAACTCGTTAAAAAAATCTTATATTACTGAAAAATACACTATATGTACGAGTATAATTATAATTATATGAATTTCAGAATGTGAATAATCATGTTGTTTTTATTTTCTTACGATCATTTCTTAAATCAATTTTTACAAAGGATACCTATAGATGCATAGCCGACTGATTTAAAAGAATTAAAGGGACTCCACTGAGGTTTTTTGACATGTTGGGACTGAAAATATTTTTTTCCAAATAAATGTACAATTTGATGTAGGTTTAGACCACTGCATTCTACATCGTGTTAACATTGAAAGGAATAAAATATGTTTAAACTTAACTAAACCACTAATCTTTGTGCAAAATTTCAGATCATTCGCGCACTTCGTTTTTCCAGAATAATTATTCAAATTGTAAAAAAATGACCCAAAATGAAAAGCGTTTAAACGCTTTTCACTCAAATCGGGCTAAGAAAAACATAAAAATACGATTTTCAATTTATATCATTATTATATAAGTGCTCATTTATGTAAGAAATTCAAATGTTATGTTTTTAGGATTTTAAACCTCGGTGGTGTCCCTTTTAACACATTAAGATTAATGTCCTGTATTTTTATGTGAATTTTCACGATATTCTTCAATTTAAGATATTACAAACCCTATTGGCAGCATTCGCAGTTAATTTAAGGCATATTGTAATTACTTATTAAAGCAAAACGAGCATTTGTATCCGTAAATATGTCAACATGTTTCATTGATCGTCAATGTCAAAATACAGTGTAATATTTCAACCACTTTCTAATATTTTGCATGAATTCTAGACTTTTATATACAAATGAACTTGGTTATCTTTGAATTGTTGTGCAATTTAATGAGTATTAGTCCTATCTAATGTATTTCATGAAAGCACTTATTACACATTCGAAAATAGAGACAAACGGAATCCCTAACGAAGACCCAACACGGCAAAATTGAAAAATTTGCAGGCTCGATTTGATTGGGCCCGTTCATGAAGCCATTCTTAGTCCTAACCCTATTGTCGGTAACAGGCCAGTTCAGGTTGAGCCCATACCTTAAACAGGAAATATACATGTATACCAATTAACTGACGAAAATATCAAATTTAACTATCATTTTTAATGATATAAAATCCTTCAGTTACAAAAGTTTAATATTCATTTTGAAGTGATATTAATAATGAGTCTTAAGCCGTTTGTAAAGACACTCTTATCAAATTCACCTTTTCTGGGGAATATTAAAATATAATTACATGTATACCCATGCTCTCTTTTAAATGATCTAATACATTTTGTTTTCCGTCGATTCTTTTGTTTTGAAAATTGTAAAGCAAGTTGGACGTACATGATACATGTACATTATCGTAATTAATTCGTTTTAAAGCTTCATGCCTCAAGATGAGACAAATATTTCAAGAAAAATAAAACTTGATAAAAATTTAAAATCTTAATAAAAGTAAAAAAAAGATTCAAAATTCAAGGAATAATTTATATGTTATGTACGATTTATGATTGATTTGGCAGT